CAACATCTATTGCGATGAGTGACTTTAGATCTTCTTTAATACCGTTCATTAACGGGAGATGCCTTCCATGCTGCTCATTGGCCGTTCTGCAGACATCTTTAAACGAACAAGATAAGAAATTAGAGTTATAATATATTAATAAAACACATATATTAAAAAGATCTATTAAACATATCACATTTAAGGTTTAGCTTAAGAAATTTAAAATCGAAGACATTTTAAGCTAGAATATATCTTGAAAACCAGTCCATGTTTAAGTAGAATTGAATCAAACTGCAGGCTTTTTTCATAAAAAGTATGAACAAATACTGGAGTGGCAGTACGACTATGCAAGTTTTTCTTTTCTCGATAAACTAATCATTAAACATTTCACAATTAATGTTTACATCACGAATTTTAAAATTTTGTCTCTAAAACCAACTAAATTAACTTTAAACTACTAAATTGCCTTAGCTAAAAAATTTGTCTAAAATGAATACGTGTTTTACTAGGAATTGAATCAGACCACAAGCCAAATGTTTTCTTTGATTATATTATATGTCGGACATAGATCGCTCATATAATACATATAATTATAATAGTTGGGCTGGATTCAAAATCTTATTATATGTAACCATTTTCAAAAGAGCTAGTTTGAAATTAAATTTATTCGAGCCAAAAAGCTAATTTCTAGCATATTAAAATGTTTCAATTAATTTCATATATGGATCATAACTGAATTAGAAATTTCCCACCCGTAATCATAATCAAGATTAAGGCCATATTACAGCAGTTTACTTTTAAACCCTCTCTTTTAAAATCAAGAAGAATAAATAAATAAAGAGTTCAGTAGCTGTAGTTTTCAATCAGTTTTGTGAATCAGTTTAAGAAAAGAAAAATAATAGTAAGTTGTATTAATAACAGATACACAAGCATCATCTAGAATTGTTAGATTTTATTTCAATAAACCACAACCCGGGATTTCCTCCTCATACTGCAATAAATTGAATTAAAGAATGTGAAATTTAAAAAGATAAAACACAAATTAATGATCAAAATCATGAATCCGCCGCAGTAGTACCGTAGTCTGCGGTCCTTTCGAGAGTCGGGAAAATGAACCTTTCCTCCATTTGGGCATGCTCTAGCATTATCTCCACCAACTCTCCGTACAATTTCCCCATACGCCTCCCCTCCGCCGCTTTCTCTTTCCATTCATCGCCGCCTGCCGCCATCAACTTTGCCACCCACTGCGCCATACCCTCGACATGCTGTTGAATGCTTCGATGTTGAACCACTATAACTTCCGCCGCCATTACCCTCTCCTTTGTTTCCGTCACCGTCTCCGACGGCGGCCCTCCATACCTATTGTCAATGTATCGAAGCAGCGATTCTTCCGAACCAGTCACCATCTCCGATCCACACCGGAGGAAGGGTTCGTCATCTCCGCATTCGACGAATTCGACGGCTACACGTTTGTAGAGAAGTGCGACGCGGATACGCCACGCGATTAGAGAGGATTCCGATCCGTGGAGTTGGGCCGGCGGCAGCGAGGTATCCACTAGGGTTTTGGATGATCGGGATTGACGCTTGGGCTTGGGCGAGCAATTGCCCATTGGAAATTGGGGTTCCGAGGTCCTGGCGTTGAAATTTAAAACATATTTGAAGAGGAAGAGGATGATGTCAGCGGAGGAATCTCAACTCTTGTGGTGTGATAATTGTTTCTTGAATACTAAAAAGGCTATTGAAGTGGACATAACATCAAACCCTGACCTTTATTTGATGCCAGAATAATATATTCTTTAGTAATACGCAAAAGATTAGTTCGCTCTATT